CCATTTCTCTGCACAGACAATGGCTGTTCCGGGAGTTCCTTGTGGGGTGAAGAGGGACGTAAATGGACACTGCTCCTTCTGGGAGTGGTATGAGGGGGTGGAAGTGCAGAGAAGGGGAAGGGAGGCACCTAGCTGAGCACACAGAACAGGCAGGCATCTTTCTCTCTCTTCTCTAGTCAGGGTGTAACTCTGGGTCAGAATGGGGATGAACAGGAAGCCTGGCTCCTTCTGCTGGATAGGAAGTTCATAGTTTCTCCAGATGCTCTGCTGGGGTTCCTGGCCAGGGCAGGGGACAGGGAAACCTGCCCTGCACCTCTCTGTCTCACGCAGTGGAGAGATCTGAGGGCCCACTGGCCTACTCCAGGGTCAGAGAACAGAAACTGTTCCGGGGTAGAGGTGGGTGGGGAGAAAGGGAGGGACCAGCCACAGGGAACCTAGTCCCACCCCTGCAGTTTTCCAGAAATACCCACCCTAGCCAATGCTCTTGCTCTCTTCTACCCCTAAATGCTCCCCCTACAGGAAGCAGCCTGCCTTCAATGCCTGCCTCTCCAGGAGGCTAGGGCCAAGCATGGATTTTTCCCAAGTTTAATAAACATTGCAAAATAGATCAGGGCAGGGGTGTGAAGGAAGGCAGCGGGGGAGGTATGGACTACTGCCAGCTCAGAGTCCACAGGAACCTTGGCATCTCCTGAGGAAACACAGTAGACTCGCCTGCCCTCTGCAGTGACAAAGAGGACCCCAGGAGTTAGCGTTTCTATTTTTCCAGCTGATTTTGGTGACTTCTTGTTCCTAGCTCTGGCCTAGAGTTGCCCTAGGCTTGTACTTCTCAAAGGCAAAGACTCCAAGATGCTGTGGCTCATGGTCTGCCACTAGCAGTCCTTAGAGAGGAGGCTGGATGACAGGGGGGACAGAGATATCTCTGGGCTTGATAACACCCTTGTTCCCTGTGAGGCTCACGGGTGGAGCAGCATCCCGAGGGACCAGCTTCTGGACCAATACGTCTCAGGCCCAGAGGAGATGGAGTTGCAGGGCTGGGCTGGGGATCGGAAGGGGTAGGAAGACACCTACATGGAGAAGTTGGTGATGAAGGCTTTCCTGGGCAGCTCGATTTGGAAGGTAGCTTCCTGAGCATCACTAGCTCTGTTGACCACCCGGCTGGTAACAACAGTATGGGCAAATCGGGAGGACACCCGGGAGTCCACCGTCAGGCTGTAGATGTCGATGCCATTCTGGACAAGGGAAGGGGAAGAGAGCTGGGTTGCTTAGCTGACGCCCCCCCAACTCTTCAGGAGTAGGCTTCGACTCTGGTTCCCGACCAAACCCCACCCTTCCTCTGACAGATACCGACTAGGCCCCAGGCTGAACCCCGCCAAACATATCACATGTGAACATTTGTCTGAAGTCAGAGGCAGCTGTGGACCTCATTCCCCACAGACAGCACCACAGAGCCGGCCTCTGAGGCCCCATGGGAGACAGCAAGCACACAGGAGTCAAGGGCAATGTCCAAGCCTGGCAGGATCACACTTGGGCAGAGATGAGAGGCCGGAGTCAGGGACCTTCTGTCTAGGCTGAGCTCTGCCTCGTAAAAGGGCAGTTTTGGAAAGTTCTTTGAGTTTTGGAAATTCTGAGCTCCGTGAAAACAGGACACTATTGGACGGTCACAGGAGCTGTGAGAATCTGTAGAGGACCAGGTCTCGAAGGAGTGACAATCTTCTTCGCCCATTTTGCCTGCAATGGTCCCTCTGTCCCAGCCCCTCCACGGGGTTACTACTCAGCACATAGACTTTTTGCCCTGAGGCTGGAGAATGGATTTGTACACACATACAGGCCTCTACCTGCTGTGTGTGCCATGCCCAAGCAGCATGACTTGTTTACAGGTCAGACGTCGGCTCTGTACCACGTGTGGCACGGAACGCTTCCGAGGCATTATGAACTTGATTTTCAACCAGCACTGCCCTCTGAGTCGGTTACATTATCACTCTCAGGTGAGGAAACAGATAGAACATGTAAGCATTTCCCAGAAATCACACATCCAGAACAGAAGAGCTGGACTCGGACAGCCACATTCTGACCTACTTGGCTACGCTGTCGGCCTCAAGGCGCAGTTGACTAAGCTCCCCTTCATCTATAAAGTGACAAGAACAGGGTCACTCCTTCTGTTAAGTGAAGGAAGTGGTAAGGACCTCTGGGTAGTGCCTGGTGACTAGTCAGCACCAGGTCTTTGCACACACACTGACCTGCACACATGCCTATGGAAATACTTGCACACCCAGAGGCACTCCCCCAGCTTCCCAGATGTGTTCGCTCCTTCCCCGGCTCATACCACACATACAAGGAGGCCCCTGCGGGTACTGCTACCTTCGTGGCAGTGGTGGTCTGAAGCACAGCCAGTAGTGAGGGCAAGACCAGCACAATGCTCCACATGTGGGCAGAGGCTGGGCTCTTCATTGGCCTTCAGTTGCCTGCCAGGCTGCTTCTGGACTTGAGAGCAAGTTGGTTATAAATTGGTAACTTGCTGGGTGTCCTGCCCACAATGGCGCAAGTTCTGGGAAATGGGGTTTCCAAGCCAAAAATCCCTGAGGCCTCAGATAAGAAGACAGATGACCTATGTACAGTGAACTTGGCTCACAGCAGGGCATACCCTGAGGAAAGGCAGGCTCAGGATCGGGCTGGGTATTAGCTCCCCTTCTGCAAGGTCCAGATTTTCAGGAACCACAACCTTACAAAGGTCATCCACCAAGCTTCGTAGGGCCAGAGGCATCCAGCAATGAGGCCAGTCTGCTCTTCATGAGTCTGGCCTGGGAGGAAATGCAGGCGTCACTAGGAAGACTAGGGCTTGGAAGGACACCCTAGGTGGCTTCCTGGAAGAGACAGGGCCTTACTAGCCAGGTAGGCAGGCCTGCGGTTTCCTGAAACCTCAAGAGGCCTAGAGGTGTCTGAGGACACCAACAAGGATATACACTTTTTGGAGCAAAAGATGCTGGGCCAGGAGCCTCTGTTCGCTTTCTGGTTCAAGGCTGCTGTTTGGTTCCTATTACTGCAACCAAACTTTAGGTTCAAGCCACGTAGACAGACCTGTCAGAACAGTCGACCGTCTAACAGCATCTGAACGGGGTGTGAGGACCAAGACAAGACAGACATGGGACAGATTCGGGAGGACTGTCAGTGAATACTGCAGCCCAGTGCTTATACACAGCTCAGAGACGGGCAAAGGAGCATCAGCAAAGAATGCCACGTTGTTACAGACTTCTTTATCTCAAAGTAGCTTGGGTTCAAGGTGAGGAACAGTTAAACCACTTCCCTGTTTTCAAGGAGGTAACGTGTGCTGTTTCTCTTGGCAAAACATCCTGCTTGTCCTATTTCAGTAAAGCTGAGCAAAATAAGTATGCATTTTTGATTCATCAGACCAAGATGGAGTCACTAAAGCTTCTGCAGACCCCCAAACAGGTCTGCAATTTGACAACACCCAAGAGTTGTAAAGACGCATACCCTCAGCCTAGAGCTGTGATGTTGGACATTCTCTGCAGGAAGGTGGGGCACACAGGAGCCAGCTGCGCAGGGTCCTCAAAGTTGTGTACATGTAGAGTGGTGGCCTGACTTGGTCACAGCAGAACCATGAGAGTGTTACCTAAGTGCTGGTAGAGGCTCTTCTCGAGATGTCCTTGATAAAGTTGGAGTGCTGAGCCGGGCGGTGGTGGCCAGCTGCTGGTGTGCTGTCTGTCACTAGTGCAGTTTCGTCAACGCTTGCTCTCTGGCCCTAGGACAGGGTATCATAGGCTTGGGAACAATTTCTGTTGCTTCCATTAAAACCTTCCCTTGGCCGGGCGGTGGTGGCGCACGCCTTTAATCCCAGCATTCGGGAGGCAGAGCCAGGCGGATCTCTGTGAGTTCGAGGCCAGCCTGGGCTACCAAGTGAGTCCCAGGAAAGGCGCAAAGCTACACAGAGAAACCCTGTCTCGAAAAACCAAAAAAAAAAAAAAAAAAAAAAAAGAGATCCAGTGAGCAAATACAGGTTCTGTCCCCAGAAAAGGTTTGTTCCTCTGGGACACAGAGCATAAGGCCCAGCCTGGAGCCAGAGCTATATAAGGCCAGGCTGGCTAGGTCATGAGAAATGCCCTGAGAAAGTTCTACCTGCCCAGGGCACACAAGGGGCTTCCCAGCAGAAGTCATCCACAAGCCAGGCCCTGCTCTGAGGGAGCCAGGATTAGCCTGACTGTGGTCTACAGACCTGTGGGTGTGTCAGCATCCCAGCTGGCAGGCACTTGGTCTCCTCATTCTGACACAGCAGACACAGGACACAGGTCTGAAGAGGTCACACACAGCTAGGCACCTGGTATTCTCACAACCCAGACAACATGCTGGGCACAGAGAGCGTGGTGGGTGAGAGTCCAGGACACTCACTAGCACTGGCCAGAGGAACCACACCTAGTTTTGTCTCTGAGATGGAGACACACAGTAAAGCAGCAGCCTAACAAGGTGGAAGGGGCTGGGCGCTGAGGACCAGTGGCTTCTGTGGCAGGCAGAGGGAGCTAGGCCTCCAAAGACTTAACTCTGAGAAGTGTCACTGTGACCTGCTTTATGAAATAAGCATCAACTCAACTCTCCTGTTGCATATGATGGGAAACCAGGGGCTAGCTTTAATTTTTTTTAAATTTTATTTTAAGGTATATGAATATTTGACTTCAGGTGTACCACATGTATGCAATGTCCACAGAGGCCAGAAGAGGGTGATAGAGTTCAATGGTTGGGAGCCACATGTGCCTATTGGGAATTGAACTAGGGTCCTCCGCAGGAACAGCAAGTACTTTAACTGTGGAGCCATCTCTCCAGGCCCGAAGTGGAGGATTAGAAAGGAGAACAGAACCTGGGTGGTGGTGGCGCACGCCTTTAATCCCAGCACTCGGGAGGCAGAGGCAGGCAGATCTCTGTGAATTCAAGGCCAGCCTGGGCTACAGAGCAAGTTTCAGGACAGCCAGGGCTGTTAGAAAAAGTCTCTGGGGGAAAGAGAGAGAGAGAGAGAGAGAGAGAGAGAGAGAGAGAGAGAG